CCGCTCAGGTCGTCTGGGACAGGTCTGCTCTCTGTCCCCAGAGTCAGAACCAAACATGGAGAAGCAGCGTTCAGTTTCTATGCTCCTTATATCTGGAACAAACTCCCAGAAAACTGCAGGTCTGCTGAAACTCTCAGCTCTTTTAAATCCAGGTTGAAGACACACCTGTTTACAGCTGCCTTTTATTAAACAATTTTAATAAGATTTTAAACTTTAACTCTGCACTTTAACTTTTTTTATATTTTTTTAACTCTTTTAATTTCTTTTCATTTTTTTTTATTTCAATTAATTTAATTTGAATTATTTTTATCTGAACATATTTTCAGATTCAATAATTTCAGTGATTTTTAAATGTTCTATTTTAATGTTTCTTTTCTTTCCTCTGTCATGATGCTTTTGATGTCTTGTGTGAAGCACTTTGAATTGCCTCGTTGTTGAAATGTGCTACAGAAATAAACTTGCCTTGCCTAATGCTGGTGCTCAAGGGTGACATCTACTGGATCAAAAAGTCACACCTTCTTCCTTTAAACACATTGAAGACCATGGATGTTGTCAATTATTGGGTATGTGACGTAATAGGCCAACTGTAACAAGGTCCACGTGTAACTAACTGAAAACTGATAACTGATAACTGATAACTGATATCTGAAAATCGCCACCCACCTGTGGCGGAGTCGGACACACATAAAGTGCCGTACTAGTGTACTGAGACAAATACAGGAGGCCAGTTAAATGGCTGTGAGTTATTGATTATACTGTGACATCAATAAGGAAGTGAAGATAAAAAACATTTATTATACCTGAACATAAGCCAGCCAGGTTGAACTAAATCCAGAGGAATCCATCACAGCAGAGGAGGCAGATATGAGATGCGTGAGACAATAATCGGAATCGTTTTTTTTATTGCCACGTACATTTACACATAGAAGGAACTTGACTTGGGGTTTTGGTGCAAAACAATTAGGAAAATTCAATTAAAATATTAAAACCCAAAATGTAGCCTACAGAAGGTTCAATGAAGGAGTTGGGCAGTCGACAGTGAAATAATCTTACAGTTTAGATAGATCTACTAACAGAGTGCATGTTGAATAAATAAATGGCTGTGTTTCAATGGAAGCACCTAAAGTCAACACAAGAGTGAGATAATCAACCACCAGATCCTGCCAGAACAGGATCTGAGAGAGAGAGAGAGGGGGGAGAGGGAGAGAGCGAGAGAGAGAAAGGGGGGAGAGAGAGAGAGGGAGAGAGATACAGGGAGAAAGAGAGAGAGAGAAAGGGGGAGAGAGAGAGAGAGAGAAAGGGGGGAGAGGGAGAGAGACAGAGAGAAAGGTACGAGCTGGCAGAGTACCTGAGCACATTGAGGGATGTGAAACTACAGAAAACCATGACGATGTACAGACTGAGTGGACACAGTCTGACCATAGAAACAGGCTGTCACAGACAGAACTGGTTACCCAGAGAGGCCAGGCTGTGTTCACTCTGCCATCAGAATGTCACTTCCTCCTACACTGTGACATGTATAAAGATTTAAGAGAGACTCTCTTTGATTACATTTATAATAAATATCCTGACTTTCTCCATCTCCCTGATCCTCAGAAGCTGCTCTATCTCTGTGGAGAGAAAAGTCTGTGTGCAGTACGAGCTGCTAAAGATGTTCATGATTGTCACAAACTGAGACAAAACACACTTAATGTTTCATAGAAATACACTGTAAGAATAATTCATGTTCTTGTTAATGTCTTTTATTCATATTTGTTGAATTTGTTTACTGTATATAAGGTAATCATTTGTTGTTCAAAATGTTTTCTGTACTGCTTTGGCAACATAGATTGTTGATCTGTCATGCCAATAAAGCTCATTTGATTTGAATTGAATTGAATTCAGACAGAGAGAGAAAGGGGGGAGAGGGAGAGAGAGACAGAGACAGAGAGAGAGAGAGAGAGAGAGAGAGAAAGGGGGAGAGACAGAGAGAGAGAGAGAGCGAGAGAGAGAAAGGGGGGAGGGAGAGGGACAGAGAGAGAGAGAAAGCCAGAGGGGGAGAGAGACAGAGGGGGAGAGGGAGAGAGAGCGAGAGAGAGGGAGACGGATGCACGTCGTGATTTTACGCACTTCTCCCCACTTGATAGAAAATAATGAAGCTCTTACTGCTCTTTAAACATGCTGCAATGGTCACTGTGCAATAACTAGCTTACTATTCTTGTACATTTTGTATATACTGTGTGTTACTTTATCTTGTCTTTAATCTGCTGTCTGCATATTTTTTATATTTTATTTTATTTGTATCTCGTACATTGCTGATTATTGTGAATGCCCGAAGATCTGTGTATTCAGGGACATGTTTTTTTGTCTCCTCCCCGCTCTGGCACTTCAGGAATTACTAATTAACCACGGGATGTGCGCACACTACATTTATCTAGAAATGATGGCATTATTATATTTGTGAAAACACGTTTTCCAGCTCCTGTAGCGGGGATGTTAAAACAATTATTAAACTTAAAAGGAAGGTTTAAAAAAAAAAAAAATCATCACAGGAACTTTAAATAATTCAGAATAAACCCAAAAATGAACATAACTACATTTGGAGGTGCATACCGGTAACTAAGTCAAACAACAACATTGCTCTAAGACAGGGGTGTCAAAGTCCTATTGGTATCGGACTAATTTTGCTGACATCACTATAACTTGACACATGGATTTATAGGCTAATGTATGATTAGAAAAAAAAGGTACTTGTATAGAAAACTACATGTTAACGCATAAAATGTAAAAGTGATTAAGCAGAGGGGTTAACTCTGTCATTGCAAACTGCATGTTGGCACATGGACATATTTAAATGTACCACATTACAGAAGAAAACATCAACAATTATGTTTTGTTTGAGATTATTATATTATGTTTTAATATTGCTGTTCAAGGTTATAGAAACTTTGACACAGGTTATTCTACCTGCTCTGGTATCAGTGCATTACTAGAGAAAGACAGAGAGCGAGAGAGAGAGAGAGAGAGAGAGAGAGAGACAGAGAGAGAGAGACAGAGAGAGAGAGAGAGAGACAGAGAGACAGACAGAGAGAGAGAGAGAGAGAGAGACAGAGAGAGAGAGAGACAGAGAGAGAGAGAGAGAGAGAGAGACAGAGAGAGAGAGAGACAGAGAGAGAGAGAGAGAGAGAGAGAGAGAGAGACAGAGAGAGAGAGAGAGAGAGACAGAGAGAGAGAGACAGAGAGAGAGACTTTAGATGTGTGTGTGTCAGGCCACAGCACAGTTTGCACTCCTTAAGGTTCATTACAGATAAAACCTGCTCACATGAATAAGTTATCACAAACGCACAGAGTGTCTTTGATGCAAACAGTCATCTTCAGGTATTTTAGTGTGAGGCATTCTAAAATGATAACATGTTTCCAAACCAACAGACTTGAATTGATCCTTCAGCGTTGCGCACTGCAGTCTGATCAGCTCCGTGTGGAGTGCACGTTCTTCAACTAAGTAAACTCAGTTAAAAGACTTTTGATATCAGTCTGGCTGTCCGTTCTTCTCCGTGTCCGTACTATCGTGATCTAACTCTGTCACTGACTTTTTATGCGTCATGAATCTGTGCCATCTCCGTGCGTAATTCGAGGAAGCATTTTAGCGCTGCTCCTCGGTTAAACCTGCGGACCTCTGTATGATCGGGCAGCCTGTGCGTGATATCGTATTTGGATAAGAATGAAATGTTCAGTAATAGTTATATTTTTACAGTCTGATGAGAGCTGGTGATAAAGGCGCAACAGCAGGCTACTGCATTTAGAAGTGATGAAACTTTTAGATGATCAACACAACACTTTCACATCTGGGTGACCTAAAAATGAACCATCTGTAATTAAAATCAGTTAATATTCATTTTAATTTACTGTTTAATAACCAGAGGTAAAATAAGTCGGGAGATGCATCAGTCTCAACGCCGGTGTCCACAACCTACACTTAGTCTGGATGTGAGGAGACGGTCTGGGCCGTTACGCATGGAGGATTGCTTTTTATTTACACGAGCTGCTCTTTGTAGCTCACTCCATAGGAAGCTTTGTTATTATTAGTCAACATTTTGTTTTACATCAGTCAAGACAGGAGAAGCTGGTAAGAAGTGTGCACAGAACTGAAGACCGTCATGATGCGCGCGCAGTGCAGCGGTTAAGTCCCGTAGCTTTGATACGATTCTGGCAACTTGTGAGCAAATAAAACTAAAGAAATATCGCTCCTTCGATCTCTCTTGAAAACCTGCATTCTGTGTCACCTCTCTCAGGTGTTCAGCCTGTTTGCTGATGTGATGTATTACCAGCGTAATGCAGGAGCAGCTCGTGCGCTCGGCCACTCGTCTTTTTGATGATACTCCCTGCTGAGAAGATAGTTCAAAGTGCCCCGTTTAATTCATTTTCGTATCATGACATCAACCTTTACGTTGCTCATTATACAAAGGTTTTTAATAAAATTCGGGGAAAATAAGTATTACAAATATTGAATTTATACGGATACGGATACGGCCCGCAGTTCGTTTGTTTGACATCTAAGCTCTAGGCTCTAAGAAGTGGAGCAAGTTTACATTTAGATAAATGAAACTGAAAAAACAAATCCAAGTAGCTACAGTATCTGCATTCACCTGACTTTTAAAACAGAGCAGATTTGTATTTTCTCATGTTAATGCAATATGCTTCCATGTGTTTTTCACTGTTATTGGACGCTTTCTTTACCTTTAAAAACAGTGCAGGCAGAGGTTTGACTTCCTTAATGCTCAGTTTGAGCAGAAATATAACCTTGTAGCCTCATGAGGATTAATCATCATTTCAAAGTTAAAAACAGGTCGAATGACTGATCATATCGGTTGCCTGAGACAATTGATTTAAAAATGAACTGTCACTTCTTTCATTTAGAGCTCTTTGATTGACTTTATTAGTCACTCCTGTAGATTCCCCTTTAAATTCATGAATTATAAATAAATGACCCTGTTACACCTGCGTGTTTAAAGCAGACTCACCTCCAAACAGATGGGCTGTAGTCCAAGGAGTAGCCTAATGGACAGGAGATGTTGCTCTGCAGTGTTTGAAAGATGGTGAGGCTGTAGTCGGATCCTGTGACAGTGGTTGTTTGTTGTAGGTTATAATATGTATGAGGTCAATCAGGGTGTAACTGCTCCTGTGTGACTTCCTCCCTGACATAAAACATGGAAGCGTTACACCACAAAACACTTCCTAAAATGTATGCGAGATCTGACGTAACTCCTCGAATTTGGAGGTTTTGGTTTGAGTCGATGCACTGTAGATAATGCAGAGCGGCTGACTTTCTTTATCTATATAACGTTTTATATATTACCTGAGTGCGTGTACGCCTGTAACCTAACCTATTTTAGAGAGGGGTGGGGGGGGATATGTAGATATCAGAGTCACAATGGTTTTTTATTGCCAAGTTAAGGTTCAAGGTCCCTGAGAGAGGGCAATTTGTCTTGCAGTAAAACACACACAGCCCGGAATCAGCAAACAACATAGAATGGACAATAAATAAATACAGTAGATAAGAGACAGATGGAAACAGAGTTAACACAGTTAGTAGTTTAAAAAGATGATGGCAGCAGGAACAAATGTGTTTCTCATCCTCTTTGTCCTGCATGCTTGCAGGCTGAATCTGAGGCCTGGCTGCAGCAACTTAAGTTCCTTGGACAAAGGATGACTTTGATCTGCCAAGATTGACTGAGCTTTCTTAAGACACTTTGTTTTATATAAATGAGAAAGGTCAGAAAGGGACGAGCGTGTGATTCTGACACACAGTTTAACAATGCTCTGCATTTTGTTGCGTTTTTTTGGCGCTGAGTGACCCTTACCAAGTCACTATACAGAAAGTTAAAACCGATTCAATGAAACAGGAATAAAACATCTTCATAAAAGTGCTGTCAACATTAAATTCCTAAGCTTCCTTAGAAAGTGCACACGCTGACGCTGATGAGCTTTTTTGCAAACAGCTTCAGTTTAGAGCTCGAAGGGGATCATGTGTCTCATTCTGTGACACATGATCAAAGTAAGTTTTACTGAAGAGTTTCATTCATAGAGGGGGGCGGGACATTGTTGATTGACAGACAGACAGTCACCATGGTTACTCACTCACCTGCCTGCTGCACACAAGGTGTAATGTTGTATAGTGTAATACCTATAAATTCAATACAGGTGAGTTTCAGGTGGAGAGGCTTGATAGTAACTTTCAGGGACGGACTGGGACTACAAAACAGCCCTGGACTTTGACTCGGCCGGCCCACAACAATCGGTACGCGGAAAGTCATCAACGCCTGGCACGGGTGTCACAATACTTTAATCATGACTCATGACACTATACCATCCAAATTACAGCAATAGCACTGATGTTGCTCATAACATCATCTATTCCATGCAATCTTATGATTACTTTATTACTCAATAATCTTAATTAAATTATGCAGTAATTAACTTACTGCACAAATAATAATGAAAATACACCACTACAAATGTAACTTCTTTATTAAAAGTCTTCAAAGTTTGTAAGTATTATCAGAAAACTGTAACGTTACCAAAACTTTAAAAAGTAAAAGCACAACAGTTTTTATATATACAGTATAGCCTATTTCTTAATATTACTGCATGTGGCATTTTACACCTAAAATGTTTAAAGTGGAGCTGTTTTAACTACTATAATCATTATTTCACTTTATTTTATTTTATTTTTCGCATTGTACTGAGCAACACAAACTGGGTATAGATAAAAATGTAGCAACACCTGAATAACATTTGCTAACATCAGCCAGCGAGTAACTCTCTTTCTCCCTCTCTCATGTCATGTTCCATACTGGTGGAACTGGTGGAGCTGGTGGAACTTCCACCAGCTCATCTCTCTGTCCCTCATCATCACATGTGGCCCTACCATGCACAACTGTCTGGCTCGCCTCAACACTCTCTTTTTCACTCATGCTGCTAACATCAACTTGTGCCGCTGTGCTGCTGCTGCTGCTGCTGCTGCTGCTGCCGGCTGTGCTGCTGAACATTTCAGTGAGTTTGCGACATTTAGTGACTTCACTTTCTAAGTGTCGCATTATTCTTTCCCTCGCCTTTTCAGCCCCACCCTTTTCTTTGCGTTTTCTATCCATATTTTTGTGCTTCACTACTGCTACCAAAGATCGTCTTCGCTGCTGCTGCTGCTACTTCTTCTTCTTCTTCTTCTTCTTCTTCTTCTTTTTTTCAATTAGCTGGTGGGCACCTTACAGTCTATGGTGGGCACGGGCGGCTGCCGGCTGGCATCCAATTTAAAGACGCATTGTTGCCACCTACCGGACTGGAGTATGAAACAGTAGATTAGCAGGAAAAAATAGTACCGGCCGTTCTGTGATTCTCCAGAACACACAGATGGCCAGTCAGCCCCTGGTAACTTTTAAAAACTGAGAGAGAGCAGAAAACACCGACAGCAACATTTTAAACACCGGGGTTATATCTCTCATCACTGACTGTCTGAGCTCCACTCTGTCTGTCTCTGAGTGTTAACGTCTCTCCAGCTCGTATAAAGGTTTCTTGTGTCGCTATCTGAGATGTAAATTTAACTGTGCAAACTATGCAGATAAATTAACTGTTGCTCACAGCGTGTCGGTTTGGAAAAATGTCAGAACATTTGCATATAACCGAGATGGAGTTGTTTTTGCGGACTTTACTTTTAAGTTTCGTTTTCGTTTTCACCTCTGCAGAGCAAAAGAGGAGGAGACGTGTCTGTGTCGGAGCATAAACTGCAGCATGATAGAATAAACACATTAGTCCGGTTCTACGATCTCCCTGCTTTGGCAGCTCATCAGGAGGTTAAAATCCTTCACGATCTAAGATGGTTATATCGCCCACCACTATCTGACACCCCTCTAGATATTATCCGGAGTGCATATGTGAAAACAGCTTGAGAGAGACCGCAGTCCCAACTTCTCCTGAAGCCAGCAGTGGGCTTTTAAGCTCTGAGGACAGGTGTGCATAGTTGTGCAACAAGTAGCATCACCTGGGCTAGAGACAACAGAAGGGGAGAAGAGAAAAATAATAATAATAGTAATAATAATAATTAATACTTTATTAATCCAGTGAGGGGAAATTCAGTTTTTACACTCTGTCTAATGAACATGAACACAAACATAGGCTGAAATACAGACCAACTTCCGGACTTGGTCCGTGCCGGGACTTAAACCGACGACCCTCCGATTCCAAACCAAAGTCTCTACAAACTAAAAAACAGCACAGGGAACAACATTCATCCGTTAAAAGAGGCTGAAGAGTTTCTCGAGCTGAAGAGAAGAAACATGTTCTCCAAACACTGAATGAATAACGCTATTATTGGGTCATAGTTGGGCTTTAAGACAAACATCATTTAAGAAGACTTTTCAATGCAAATTGAGATACAGTCAGTCCCTTCAAATGTGGTTTACTCCACACGTGTATCTAATCAACCTTTAAACACCCTTTACATGCCAATGTAACTATCAGTGTGACCAGGCGGCTACACAAGTGGGCAAAAGTACGCCTTATCAACAGAGATTTACGCCTCCTCACTCAGAAGTTTCAGTCACTTTCTTGTATGTTTACAGTTTACAGTATGAGTCTAACATATTGGTGTAATTATTTCCTCTAGGATAGTAGACTTTGCTCAGCGTCACAGTAAGCATTGTGAGCAAAAAAACCCATAACCCATAAAAGAGGTTTTATTGACCATTTGTTTTTTATCCCCCTCCTCCTGCTTTTCTTTTAGTAACTGCCATTTCCCAGTAAACAGCATCTTGATGAGCCTTATTAGGTTCGTCATGATGCACCATTGGCTGAATTTAATATCCTGATCCGGCTTCTTTTAATTCTAAAAAAAACACATTGTTTTCTTAATTAAAATTGAAAGGCATATGACTCACATGTAAATAAATTAGATACGAAAAAATTATTAAATCGCATACACTTTTTGAGGGTACTTTAGATACCCTATAGGGGTAGCTTCAGCACCCCCACGCCCTGGCCCCACCTATGACTAGAATGACCCATGAAGCACAGGGACCCTCCCCAGCCATAACAAGGTCAGGTGGAAGTGGCTCACCAATTTCTGTCAAACAGGTCTTGAGGCGCATCCTTTGACACATTGTCTGGGCCAGGCTATATATAGGAAGCTTTATAAATTTGTTTGAAAATACAAAACTCACTTTATCGAAAAAAAAAACTGTGATCAAGAACACTTTAGACTGGTGGAGGATGTGAACAGCTAGGTCAGGAGAATATCTGGAGCAGTCCTCCCGTAATTATCTAGATATTATCCGGCGTGCATATGTGACAACGGCTATTAAGTCCAAAAGTGGGTATACCTCTAAATATCATAGATGGGGTAACCTCAAAAGAATAACAACACTTGATTGGATTAGCTTTTGGAATTGGTATCTATGGAGCAAGCCGCATCCCTTCTGGAAGATCTGGGCAGTGACCAAGGACGTTCTCTTAGCCTTATCCTGTCTGGATTAAAGGGATACTTCAGCCATTTGCATTAAACTTTGTATCATTAGAAACCTGGTAGTATTTCTGAATGGTCGTGCATCCCACCCTCATTTTCCCCTGAGATGGGAAATCTTTGTATTTTTAAGTCTGAAAAGGAGCTTCTGATGACGCAAAATAACAATTTTTGCGTCACTGGAAGCTGTTGTGGTTAGCGGGGTGAAACTACAACGCTAGTTCCTCATATTTTCGACCACTGAAGCTACAGACCAATCACAGATCAGTGGGTGGGAACTCACTCCCAGAATCAAAACTTAACGTCCGCCATATTGCTTGGAAGCTATGCTAACAGGCTCTATGGAGAAAGTTGATCATGGTGAAAAAATATAAATATAGTGACGAGATGACTGCTGCTGACAGGCCGGTCTTCTGCTTTGGCTGCTGGCCGTCTCGCAGCTATATTGCTATACTGCTGGTCGCCGCCAGCCGCTGCCAGCTCAGCAGCCGAGGCATAAGGCCTGCCTGTCGGTGGCTGTGAGGACGAGGAGCCGGGGCCGGCTCGAGCTGGGGCGGACTGGTAGTGTCAGTGCTCTCATTGTTTGTCTATGGACACAGACATAGAGTCTGTTTTCTGACAGGAATTTCCAAGATCAATTCTGGAAGAAATCTCTGAATCAGTTGAGGAAACGGCCGCATGTGTTGAAGGAAATATGTCTGTAAACCTGACCTTAGTGGGAGTGGCCTGTGGTGCTGTGCATTCTGGGATTTGGTGTCTTTCATACACATGAGCCAAAAAGACACTTTCTGCCTTTTCTCTCCCAAGAAGGCACCAACTTCAAAATGTATTTCACATTTCTACAT